AGTCCGGTTTTATCCCATGCTGTTTCAGTCACAGTCCAGCTGGCTTTGGTGAGCTCCCAATAGATCAGCCCCACTGTCTCAGTGGGTGGGTGCACCCCTCGTGGTCCTGACATCCTTGCTCGTGTTCTCCCTCCATCTGCTTCTCATTGGGACCTTGGGAGCTCAGTCCAGTGCTCCATTGTGGGTCTCTGTCTCTATCTTTATCCATCACCACATGAAGGTTCTATGGTGATATGAAAGATATTCGTCAGTATTGCTATAGGATAGGGTCATTTCAGGTTCCCTATCCTCAGCTTCCCAAGGGACTAACTGGGGACACAATTTGTGATCTCATCTGAACAATATAGCAACAAACAGGGCAGACACGGCTATGCTCTGGGTACAAAGATCAATTTGGAAGAGATTCAGAGATCAAAGGGAGTGGGGTCCCTAGATTTGTAAGAGAGCTTCAATTAGTTCTCCAGTTAGAGTAGAATTTAGGATTTTAGTAAGAGCCAACAGATCATGCAGGAACACCCTGGTAGGACCTATAAACCATTAACCTTGATTTCCATTACCTTTCTATCATCCTCACATGAAACTTGAATATCCATTTCATCGTTGATCTTTGCTATACTCTGGTATTTATACCATGGAACTAAAGCAGCTATAGATAGCAGCTGAGCTTCAGGAGCCTGCAGGATGTTCTTGGATAATATCCTGCTTACGGTGTCCTTGAACCTCAAGTCCCTTTCTGGAAATGCTGTCAAATATATTGTAATTTGTAGGTCTTAGAATCTATTCTGGTCTTCTCAGGTCCCTGGTGTGTAATCAATTTGTTTTTCGTTAAAATAAAATACCCTACTTCTACCAAGGTATTCAAACACACTTTAAAATTTTATAGAATTTTATTTTTATCATGTAGATATATTTCTCTCTTAATGTTTTTTCCACTGACTTCTTACTTACACTAATTCACTGGCAAATTGTTCTGTGGTCTGTGCAATGTTATCTGAGTCACAGATCCTTGATCTGAACATCAGATATCTCTATCTGTGGCATTCAGGGATTCGAGGAAATGCTTGTACATTGTGGGCTATCCTCCATCACATTGTGGTATAGGAGGTCTTCTGTTTATGTATTGCTTTCATTCGCTAATCAATTAAGAAATTATTTGGCCTGATAGGGCAGAACTTAGGTAGGTGTGAAGACAAAACTGAATTCTGGAAGGATGAAATCAGACAGAGAGCAGCCATAGAGATGCCATGTCAGACAAGCTAAACCTTTCCCTGTAAGCCACAACCTCGTGGTGAACACATTAATAGAAATGGGTTTAATCAAGATGTGAGAGTTAGTCAATAGGAGGCTAGAGCTAACAGCCAAGCCGTGTTTAAATTAATACAGTTTCTGTGTGATTATTTTGGGTATAAGCCAGCCGGGCAGCAGGGACAAACAAGAGGCCACTTCCCTCCCTGTGAAAAGTCCAAGGCCCTCCCTAGTACATTTAGAATGAGCAAGGCATACATCCAAAGAGTATAGGATTCCAAGAAGCCAGTACATGCAGTAGAGACAAATCCCAGTGTCACTATCAGTGGCCCCTCTGTCTGCCACAACTGTCACCCACATTCAGAAGGACTTGTTCCCATGTTCATTCACTCCCAGTCCTGTTAGATTTGGTGAGCTACCATTAGCTCAGGCAAACTATCTCAGTGAATGAACCCCTCATAGCATTGGATTCCTTGCTCATACTCTTACTCTTTCCACTCTTCAGCTGGATCTTGGGAGCTCAGTCCAATGCTCCAATGTGGGTCATTGCCTCTGTTTCCGTTTTTAGATGAACGTTCTCTTAAGTCCTCTCAGTATTGGGGCAGGCTGTGTAGCAGGGTTCTACTGAGCTCACATCCCTATGGTCCATATTCTATGTGTAATTAGCATTGACCTTGCCCATGAATAAAAGTTGGAACAGAATTTTAAAAAGAAATCTATGGAGGTATTTTCAGCATACTACAATCTCTGATTACTAATGTGTATGTTGATGTACATCAAAATCGCTGTCTTGTGAGTAAACACTGGTAAAACCATGCTACTCTAAGATAGTAATACCTTCATTTCTCCCCTGATGTTCCCATCAATATTACATCATACAAGTTTACTAGTCACTTAGAGGTTTATGTACTGAAATATTTAAGTTTCTCGATGATTTTTTTGAAATATTTATTTATTTATTTTGCATACAATATTCTGTCTGTGTGTATGTCTGCAGGCCAGAAGATAGCACCAGACCTCATTACAGATGGTTGTGAACCACCATGTGGTTGCTGGGAATTGAACTCAGGACCTTTGGAAGAGCAGGCAATGCTCTTAACCACTGAGGCATCACAGCCCTATCGATGATTTTTCCTGGCTTTTTCCTCCTTAGAGGGATGCTAACTGAAATATGTATAATGGATTTTATAATTTTTATTACTTTCTATGCTTATAGCTTATTTGCCTTCAGCTTTCCTGGTCAAACACCTGTGTCTTCTATGGTGGGGAATCTATGGTATGAGTGATCTTTGTTTCCCACTATCTTGAAACACAGAAGATATTCAAAAAAATGTTAATCAGATTGCTTTTAAAAAATCATAAAATATAAAAATTCGGGTTATTGTCATCTGCCTCCTCTAGAGATTCTACAATTGTCACATAGGCCTAAGTGGCCCAGTAACACACCTCCTCCTCCTCCTAAGAACTCTTACTATGGTAATCCCAAATCCTCATCAACACTTCAATCAGTATCTTGTATTTTTCTTCCTGGTACCTCTTTATTGAGCAGAGCCCACATAATAAGCACAGACTATCAAGAGTTCTCCATTTGTGTCACTAAGCCAGCACAACAATACAATGAATGATCATACACATTTTATTCTGTGCACATCTCCACTAAGGAATTCTCTCTCTCTCTCTCTCTCTCTCTCTCTCTCTCTCTCTCTCTCTCTCTCTCTGTGTGTGTATCTAGTTTTGTACTGTCCCAAGCTGAGTTTATTATCATGGTACTGCAGTGTAGCACCTGTAATAATGTGTATTACACCTTCATTAGCATTATTTTGTGGAGGTTGCCTTGATTTTGCTAAAGATCACAGTTAGCAAAAGCTTACTTAAGCATTTTTTTTGGAGATTTTCTTTGTCTTTAAACCATTCAGTTATTAAGCAGGTACTATTTTTCTTTATTTTAAGGAATTGTATACTCTGCTTGTATACAATTAAATATGATCACACCTCTACGCAATTTCTCCTTCATGTCTCTTCAATATCCTCACCAATGTAAATTTCTCATCACTTCATGACATGTAGAAGGTCAGTTAATGTTGGCCATATGTGCATATGTATGGAGACAAACATTGCCACATAGGAAACTACCAATCACTATAGCTTCAAAAAAAAAAAAAAAAAAAAAAAAAGAAGAATTCTTCTTCTCCAGGAATTGTCTACATCCAACATCTCCTCAGTAAGTGGTAAAGTAAGTGAATAATCTCCCCTAGAGTTTTAACTAGCTTGGTCTTATGTAGGGCTTAAACATGGAACAGCAGCCATTATGATTCATAAATGTGATTACCATGTCCAGTAGACAGGATTTTCCAGCTCTGTTCCCCATGGTCCACCTCTTTCTTTCTGCCTCCTCTTTCTACTCTTTCTCTGTATTCTCTGAGCATAGGAGTGATATGAATAGGACTAGAAAATTTATATTTCCAACAATATATTAAAGATTAGGGGAATTTTGGGCAAATTTAGAACCTAGATTATGTGTGTTTTGCGTTATGCCTTCAGTTTTGCAGATTTTGGAACTAGAATGGAAACCCGAGGAAGGGAAGACATCTTAAGTGAGAAACAAAGGTGATAAATGGAAGAGGAATATAGATGATGTGAAAGTAAAAGTGTGTTGTGCTGAGAGAAAGGGAATGAGTAGGAAGGAAGCAACAGACTTAAAAAATGTTAAAAACTTTAAAAAAAAAAAACAAGGTTATCTAAGATCTTATTCAAAAGCCCAGGTTAAGCTAATTATATTAATTGGAGAAATGAAAACGAGGCTAACACAACATAAAGGGTGTCATGAGTTGTCTGGTGTAAACAAGTGAGAAGATAATGGCAGAGAGTTTAAAAGAATCAAAGAGAGAACATCAGGAAGCAGAAAAGTGATTTTGATGAAAACAGAAATATGTCTACATAGTAACCACAAAGTGGTAGAGAAACAGTGACAAGACATGTCTTACTGTAAGTGTCCTGTTGCCTAAGGACAGCATTGTCTCAGAAGTGAGAAAATTCAGAAAATTCCAAACTGTTCCCATCATAGTCATGGAGTTCTGTAAACATTACCTGGAGAGTCAGACCCTATCCTGAAGACACACTAGGGAGAAGTCATGTCCAGACCAGACAGTAGGACAGACTGAACTCATGTCACACAGACATGAGCAGAACTAATTAATTATACATTTATACAAAGAAGACATGACATCATGGGAAAAAAGCAAATTCTGTGCATATGCACAAAAGAGAACAAAACAAAGGGTGATGAATCCTTAGTCAGGAAAGTATGAATATCAAACTACAACAATGTGTTGATTTCTATAAATGTCATCATTGATTGGAATACTTTTATCTGCTCTGAGAAATGCCTTCCCCTGAGATCCAACTCCAGGGCTTAGTATAGCAGGAAGACATGCAAATAAGTCTTTTCTTTGACCATGAAAACCAGACCTGCTGACCATAAAGCTTTGACAGTGGAGACTTGTCCTGGATTCCAAAGTCCCCCTATTCAGCGATCACCACTGAACACAGAACACTAATCATGGACTTGAGGCTCAGCTGGTTTTTCCTTGTAATTATGTTGAGAGGTATTTTATAGAGAAAAGATGATGTGTGTTGTTTAAATGAAAGAAAAATGGCTCCTAGACAGTTTCATCACCAGCTTTCTTTTTGCTTTCAGGTGTCCAGTGTGAGGTGTCCCTGTTGGAGTTCGGGGGAGACTTAGTACAGATTTTATGTCTCTCTGAAGAGGTTCTGTGAACCAGAGTTCTGTGAGCTTTTAGCACCCCTTCCTGGTCCTTAGGATTCTGCAGTGAAGTTTGTATTTGACCTCACAGTCATATTCACTGTGTGCTTTGCAGAGTAATATGAGGTAGTGTCCTCAGATCCCAGACTTCTCATTTACAGGTACAGTGTAATCTGGAAATTATCTCTGAAGAAGGTGAATTAGCCCTTCATGGAATCAACAAAGTAGATTGTCTACTACCACCATTAATGCATGCTAACCACTCCAGCATCTCATAACCACACATGGGTCCCGAGGACCCTGTGAACTCTGTTTTTCTCCACGATCTATGCAGCATTCACACAGAAGCATATACAAATAATTTAAAATGAAGCATTTATTTAAAAGTTTCTCATTCCTTGCTGGGAGATAGCTCAATGGGAGAGTTCTGGTGGAGTATATATGTAGCTTTCATTCAAAAAATGCCATTGATCCAGAGGGGCAAGTGTGTGCTCGCCCAGCCCACAGGTCCCAGAAACAGAGTACAGGGACTCTCCAGCTTCTGCTGTGGAGACTTCTTTGTTTCACATTACTTTGCCTTCCACAAGCCTACCCTTTTGTCTGCAAAGTCCTTGGCCTAGCAATAGTCCCTGCTCCTACACTAAGAAGATCCATCAGAGGGCTAAGTGTGTATCTGCTCAGCCCGACAGCCCTGGCAATGAGGTACAGGGCTCCTCCAACTCCTGTTGCAGGGGCTTCTTTGTTAAACATGACCCTTCCCACCTCCAAGTCTGCCCTTTTGTCTGTGAGGTCCTCAGCCCAGCAAGAGTCCCTGCTCCTGTACTGAGGAGATCCATCCAGAGGGGTAAGTGTGTGCCCGCCTGGCCAGAAGGTCTTGGGAACAGAGTACAGGGCCCCTCCAGCTCTTGCTACAGGGGCTTCTTTGTTCCACATGACTCTGCCTCCCCCAAGTCTGCCCTTTTGTCTGCTAGATCCTTGGCCCAGCAAGAGTCTCTGCTCCTGTACTGAGGAGATACATCCAAAGGGGTAAGTTTGTGCACACCTGGCTGGCTGGTCTCAGGAATGGAGTACAGCCCCCCTCCACATACCTAAACATTTCTGGCCATTCAGCGGGGTGTCTCCTAAGCTACTAGCTTTCTCTAGTTACCCCATCCCATCTTGCCCCCAAGAACTCCTTTTCAACTGTAGGGTCCTTAGATCCACCATCACAGCCTGCTTCAGGGCAGAGGGGATCTGAGAGCCAGCTCCAGTGCTGAGGGATCCTAAGAGAGGGCAGACCGAGAAAAACCCGCAAGTACACAGTCAGTCACAGCAAAGATTGGACTAAGATGCTAACACTCTCATGGCTGCATTTGAAGGAAGAAATGTGCAGGCACCAATGCAAGAATTCCTCCAACAACCTGAACTGAGGTATGGCTGGATATGGAAAATCAGGGTAAATGAACAGGAACTATGAAGTCAAGTATAATAACAGAATACAAGAGATAAAATAAAGAATCTCAAGCGCTGAAGATACCAAAAAGGAAGTAACTCATTGATCAAAGAAAACAGCAAATCCAACAAATTCTTAACAGAAAACAGGAAATCTGGGATACCACGAAAAGACCAATTAGGTCTACTCCTAAGAATAATAGGGATAAAAGAAGGAGAAGAATTACAGCACAAAGGCCCAGAAATATACCCAACAAAATTATAGAAGAAAACTTTCCCAACCTAAAGAAGGATATTCCTATGGAGGTACAAGAAGCATACAGAACACCAAATATACTGGATCAAAAAAATTCACTTGTCATATAATAAACAAAACACAAAAAATACAGAATAAAGAAAGAATATTAAAAGCTGCAAAGGAAAAGGGTCAAGTAACATATAAAGGTAAACCTATCAGAATTACACCTGACTGCTCTATGGAAACCATGAAAGCCAGAAAGTCTTGAATAGATGTGCTGCAGTCACTAAGAGACTAGATGCAAGCCCAGACTACTGTATTCAGGAAAGCCTTCTTTCACCATCGATGGAGAAAAAAAAAAGATATTCCAGGACAAAAACCGATTTAAAAAATACATAGCTACAAACCCAGCCTTATAGAAAGTACTAGAAGGAAAACCAAAACCCAAGGAAGCCAACAACACTCATAATAACACAGACAGCTGACAACCCTCCACCAGCACAACTCAAAGAATGGAAACACACAAACACTACCACCAAAAGAAAATAACTGGAATTAAGAACTGGTCATTAATATCACTTAATATCCATGGACTCAATTCAGCTATTAAAAAGGCACTATTTAAGAGAATGGATATAAAAACAGGATCCAACAGTCTGTTGTTTACAAGAAACAAACCTCAACCTAAAATAAAGACACTACCTCAGAAAAAGGGTTGGTAAAAGGTTTTCCAATGTATAACCCCAGTAGCACAGACAATAAAAACAAAATGAATAAATGGCACCTTCTGAAACAGAGAAGCTTCTGTAAAGCAAAAAAAAAAAAGAAAGAAAGAAAGAAAAAGAAAAATAGGAGATTTTCACCAACCCTGCATCAGATAAAGGCCTGATCTCCAAAATATATAAAGAACTCAAGAAACTAGAAATTCAAATTCAAATTAATCCAATTAAAAATGGGGTACTGAACTGAACAGAGAATTCTCAACAGAAGAAGTTCAAATGGCCAAAAGATACTTAAGGTCATGTTCAACATCGTTAGCGATCAAGGAAATGTAAATCAAAACAACTTTGAAATACCATCTTACACCTTTCAGAATGGCTAAAATCAAAAACACTAATGATAACCTATGACGGAAAGGATGTGGAGTAAGTCAGTCATCCACTGCTGGTAGGAATGCAAACTTGTGCAACCACTATGGAAATCAGTGTGGCGGTTTCTCCAGAAGCTGGAAGTCAACCAACCTCAAGATCCAGCAATCCACTCTTGAGAATATACCCAAGAGATACCCAATCATACTACAGAAGCATTTGTTCCACTGTGTTCATAGCGGCACTATTTGCAACAGCCAGAATCTGGAAATAACCTAGATGCCCCTCAATGGAAGAATGGATAAAGAAACTGTGGAATATATACACAGTGGTAAAAATCAATGACATCTTGAATTTTGCATGCAAATGGATGGAAATAAAAAACACTATCCTGAGTGAAATAACCCAGACCCAAAAAGATGAATATGGTATGTACTCACTCATTAGTGTATTCTAGCTATAAGCGAAGGACATCAATCCTATAGTTTGCGATCCTAGAGAAGCTAAATAATAAGGTAAACCCAAAGAAAAACATATATAGATATATAGATACTCCTGGAAATTGGAAGAAGACAAGATTGCCAGGCAAAAGTGGGGAGCATGGAAGTGGGGTTAAGGTGCGGGGATGGGAGAGGGGGAGAAACAAGGGAGAAAGGGAGGATTGGGGAGAGCTTGGGGGAGTGGGATGGTTGAGATGGAGAAAAGGCGGATTTGGGAGCAGGGAAGAAGATATCTTAATTAAGGAGCCATTTTAGACTAAATGGGGAAGATCCTATCTCTACAAATGTTCTCACTGAATGCTGTCTCTCTGACACCTCAGACAGCCTCTCAGACTGAATCCTCAGACTGTGTTGAGTTCTTGTCTCCTCCCATCTTTTATTCTTCTCTCTGCCCAGGCATCTGACTCCTGACTCTACCTCCCTAGTGCTGGGATTAAAGGCATACGATCCCAGTTGCTGGGAACACTCTGTGTGAACTCTGTTTCTGTTATGCACAGATTCAATCCTTTGTCGTCCAGGGTTGTATTGCACTCACAGAGATCTGTCCACCTCTGTCTTCCTACTGCTGGATTTACAGGTGTGTGCCACTACTGCCTGTGCTCTATGGCTAACTAGTGGCTTACCTCTGCAGTCTAATCTTCAGGAAGCTTTATTTGTAAAATCACAAACAAAATATCACTACACCTCCAAGACATATGTTTTCATAAAACTGAACAATGTTCAAACGTCAAAGACAGCCACTGTGCCAGACACACAGTGAGAAAACTCCAGTGTGAGCTTGGCCAGAAACCTTTCTACTCAGACCAGCATGGGATATGGAGGACCAACAAGTACTCCCAGAAAGAGAGGTGGTCACTTAAAAAACTAGGAAGTTCAAGAATATGCTGCATTTACACCTGTTTGATGTCATAACCTTTTCTTTTACAGAAGGAAATCTTCTAGAGTACCATTTATCAGTAATAATCTATTAATCTTGCTTTTTAATTACACAATAAACACCTTTGTTCCTCCACAATACTCTAAGATGTCTAATTGCTTCCTTTCAGACAAATCTTATACCTGTCAGAATGGCAAAAAAAAAAAAAAAAAAAAAAAAAAAAAAACACCTATGATAGCTTAGGCTGAAGAGGATGTGGAGTAGGGGAATACTCATCCATTGCTGATGGGAAGGCAAACTTATAAAACCACTTGGGAAATCAGTATGGTGGTTTCTCTAAGAATTGGGAATCAACCTAGCTCAGGATACAGCAATACCACTCTTGGGCATATACCCAAAAGATGATGGATCGTACTACAAAAACATTTGTTCAGCTATGTGTATAGAAGCATTATATGTAATAGTCAAAACCTGAAAACAACCTAAATGCCCCTCATTAGAAGAATGGATAAAGAAAATGTGGCATGTTTACACATTAGAATACTACTCAGCAGTAAATATCAATGGCATTTTAAATTTTGCATGCAAATGGATGAATTTAGAAAACACTATACTGAGTGAGGTAACCCAGATTCAAAAAGGATGACCATGGTATGTATTCATGCATAAGTGGATACTACCTATAAACAAAGCACATTCAGCCTACAGATCATGATCATAGAGAAGCTACATAAAAAGTTGAGCCCCAAGGGAAATATATATCCACCTGGGAATTGGAAATGGACAGGAATGACTGTCAGTGTTGGGAGAATGGTGGTGGGGTAAGAGGGGAGAGTAGGCGGAGAAGAGGAGGGGAGAGGAGAACTTGCAGGAATGGGATAGTCAAGATGGAGGAAGGACAAAGATAAGAGCAAGGAAAGAGTTCTTGATTGAAGGAGTCATTATAGTGTTAGCATAAATCTGTATCTAGAGAAATTTCAAGGAATCAAAAAGAATGACCCCCCATAGGAGCCTGAGCAATAGAGGCAGAAACTGATGGAGGTAGAGGCAGAGACCCACATCCCAAAATCCAGTTGAAGAATGAAAGGAATGAGAATATGAGCAAGGAGGTTAATTAAGACCATGATACATTAGCCCACTAAAACAGTTTGCTTGAGCGAATGGGAGCTCACCAACTCTAGCTGAACTGGGAAGGACCACAAATAGGACCAAACCAGTTTCTCTAAATAGGGTTTACCTTTGCATGGCTGGAACAGACTGAAGGACAACTAACATGGCACCAGGATTTATCCCTACCGCTTGTACTGGCTTTTTCGGATCCTATTCCCTTTGGATGTATACTTTGCTCAGCCTAGGTATGGTATTGAGGGCCTTGGACCTTCTATAAGACAATGTGCCTTACCCTCTCTGAGAAATAGATGGTGGTACAGTGGGAGGGTGTGTGGAGGGAATGGGAGAATGGGAGGGAGTGGGAACTTCGATTGTTTTTTTTAAAAAAAATTCTAATAAATTAAAAAAAAATGAAAGTTCGCAAGAGACTTGACTCTAGAGGGGTTCCCAGGTGTCCAAGGAGATGTTCCCAGCTTGTTCCTTGGGCAGCAGAGGAGAGGGTGCCTGAAGCACAGTGTACCATAGCCACACTGATGAATATCTTGCATATCACCATAGAACCTTCATCTGGATATGGGTGGAGATAGAGAAAGAGACCCACATTGGAGCACTATACTGAGCTCCCAAGGTCCAAATGAAGAGCAGAAGGAGGGAGAACATGAGCAAGGAAGTCAGCACCACAAAGGGTGTGTCCACCCACGGGACAGTGGAACTGATCTAATGGGAGCTCACCATGGCCATCTGGACTGGGACTGAATGAGCATGTGATAAAGCTGCACTGTCTGAATATGGCTGACAATGAGGGATGACTGAAAAGCCAAGGACAATGCCACTGGGTTTTGATCCTACTTCATGTTCTGGCTTTGTGGGAGCCTAGTCAGTTTGGATGTCCACCTTCCTAGACCTGGATGGAGCGGGGAGGACCTTGGACTTCCCACAGGGCAGGGGACCCTGACTGTTCTTAGGACTGGAGAGGGAGGGGAAAGGGAAGTGGGGGAGAGGGAGGGAAATGGGAGGAGAGAAAGAGGTAGAAATTATTAATAAAAAATATAAAAAAACTGTGAAAGAAAGCAAAGTAAAAGAAAATTTTAAAAAAAGGAAATAATGAAGGACTCCAGCAGTTCTTAGTTGGATGGGAAGATGGTCCCAGATAGAGTTACCTACCAGTGTTCCTAAATCATTTGCTTTCTGAATTTATTGTTTTGAGCCTCAGTTATATAGTTTATATTATTTTCCTTTATTCTTTAGAATCTCTAAATATGATATTATTTCATCCAGTTCCTCTAAAATCTGGCAAACATGGGCCTCTACCAACCTTATACTTATTTAAGCATAGTTAGTGCAGCCCATATGTGCATGTGTGTGAACCCATGCACTGCAATATTGGAAACCTACCAGTAACCATACCCTCAAAAAAGAGCGACTATGTCCCTTGTCCAGAAAACACATTTCCATCTGCTCCTCAGTAAAAAGTAGGACCAAGGAATTATCAGCCATATCTATACCAGTGTTTTGGCTGGCTTGATCCTAGTTCGGATGTATACAGACATCAGCCATTATGAGTCCATGATTGTAATATTCATGACATGTCCAAAAGACAGCATTTCAAAGCACCTGTGTTCCACTCCTTCCCTTCTTCCCTCTTTTTTTTTCATCAGTGTTCTCTGAGCCTTGGAAGAACTCCAATGATTCTGGAAATCGTATATCATGCACCATATTGAAGATTAGGAAGAACAGTTTCTGCCTTATAGAAAATCCAGATTGTTTGTTTGAGACTCTGTGTATGTGGTGTTCTGAATTCTATTTTGTAGGCTCAGAACTAGAATAGAAGTCAAGAAAGGAAAAGACATCTTAAGTGAGGGGCAAGAGGGAAATGACACAGGGAAAGACAGAGGTTTTGAAATGAAATGTTGCATGTAGTGAAAGAAAGGGGATGAGTCAGTAGGAAGCATGAGAATTCAGAAATATAAAAATAGAGTCTTCTGACAATACAAAACTGATGCCAAAGTTTGGGGCTTTTTTATTAAATTTTATTAAGTGCCCCCATTAAGCTGACTATATAAATATGCAGAAACAAAAACTGACCTAAGGCAAATTGAAGACAGCCATGTGCTTCCTGGTATCAAGTTGGGGAAAAATCACAGTGGGGAGTAGAAAGAGATCTTATGAAATCTGTTCATGTTATGTAAAGACATACACACACACACACATATATATACATACATATATATATATGTATATATATATCCATAGAAATTAATGATAGAAAGATAGACTACCACAAGGAATGTTTCATTTGCAAACTTCCTGGGGACATAAGACAGCATTTCTCAGAACTGAGGAAAATTCAGAAAAGTCTCAAGTGTCATAGAGAAGGAGTTCTACTTAGAGGCAGTTATTATCCCACCCAAGATCCACCTCAGGAAGAAGCCATGTCCAGCAGAGACAAAGGGACAGACAGAGATAATATCTAGAAGCATAGCAGTGTGGAGCTTTTCAATTGCACATTGATCCTAAAGAGTCATGACAGTGTGGAAACCCAACATTTTCTATTCATATGGTGAAAAGTGAACTAAGTACAGTGTGGTGAATCCCTAAGAAGGAAAATGTGTACACAGCTATGTTAATGCTTCAATTTCTATAACTGCCATCAGACTTATATCTGTGCTGAGTACTGACTTCTGCCCAGGTCCAACTACAGAGCCTGCAGGAAGATATGCAAATAAGGTTGCTTTGTGTCCATAAAAACTAGAACTTCTCTGAATTGTCGGCTCTGGCATAGGAGACCACCCTTGGATTCCGAAATCCTCCCAGTCAGGGTTCAGCACTGAAATCAGAACGCTCATCCTGGACTTAGGGCTTATACTGATTTTCTCTGTCCTTATATCAAAAGGTAATTTATAAAGATGAGATACTGTGTGTTGTGTGGAAACAAGAAAGAGAAAAAAATGTTTTTTTTCATCAGTTTTCTAACCAGAGTTCTTTGTGTTTACAGGTGTTCAGTGTGAGGTAGAGTTGCTGGAGTCTGGGGGAGGCTTAGTGCAGCCTGGAAGGTCCCTGACACTCTCCTGTGCAGCCTCTGGATTTACCTTCAGTAATGCTGGCATGAGCTGGGTCCGCCAGGCTCCTGAGAAGGGGCTGGAGTGGGTGGCATACATTAGTTACAATGGTGGTACCACCAGTTATACTGACGCTGTAAAGGGCCGGTTCACAATCTCCAGAGACAATGCCAAGAACACTCTGCACCTGTAAATGAGCAGACTGAGGTTTGAAGACAGCCATGTATTACTGTGCAAGAGACACAACACAATGAGTGAATGCTACTGTGAGCTCAGACAAAAACACCCCAGTGGGGACGACAGAACCAGCAGGGGGCGCTGAGATCACATACAAATCAGGGTCACAGAAGAGCCTGCTCAGAGAAGCATGGAAGACTGGACTTCTCTGTGTCTGCACTGCCGCTCGATATCACATTTAGGGATTTTCTCTACAGGTATAGAGTGTAGTAATCCTTGGATGTCCAAATATTTATTTCATTTTTTCCTCTTGGTGTGTGTGTGTGTTTATTTATTACAGTGTTTCTCCTTGATTCCCTTTAACTGTCTATCTAGCTCTCTCAATGTCTCTCTCACACACACTACTTCTTTCTCTCTCACACACTTTTTCTCTACCTACTCTGTGTATGTGTGTGTTTGTGCTGACATATGATGTTCAATCAGGCTCTGTTTTTCTCTTTTCAATGTGTGGCAAACATTGTTACTCATATGTGCAGTCTGCTCTCATATTTACCTTTTAATTCAGGTGTATGAGTTGAACATGTATCGTGAGAATCTTGAAACGGTCATGGAGTCCAGACTCAGAATAGGAATCACTACTGTGGGTGAAGTTTCCCTCTACTTCTCCTTGTCCTCGTCCTTCTGTTTTCTTTGTTTCGTTTGATTTATCCTACCTACCCCAACATTCTTGAGATACATGCTCAATAGATTGATCCTTTACAGAATCCATTATAAGTGTTGGGCATCAAGGAAGAAGAATTTATTGTTCCTGGTGTATATTTTAATAGTGCATCAAAAATTATTTTCTGTAGAAAAAATGTGATGTTTTAAAAGATTCAGCTTGGCTTGTAGCTCTGTGGTAGAGTGCTTTCTGATCCTGTGAAATGTTTTAACTTCAAGAATCAAAGTCTCTTAAGATAGGAATTAAGCACTTAGACAAATATCATTTCTCACTTTCAGAGACTTAAATGAGCCACTCTCATGGCTGAAAAAGGAATGGAAGTCCCCAGAATAGGAAGTGAAGTTGGGAAGTTTTGAAGAAGGAACAAGTATCCAGGAGTTCATCTCTTGGAATCTTTAGCAAGCAGTTCATCTAATATTTACAGCACCAATCACACAGTTCTAAGTAACTACAAACCATGAATCCAATGCAGGGTAAGGACAATGCTTGAATGGCTGGAAATGCTAACTGAGTATACTGTGTGTGCACTGTGTATGGTTTTCACATGTATCTGGAGGCTAGAGAAAAGACTGAGTGTATTTATCAGTTGAATTTCTATCGTAATTTTGAATCAGAATCTCATGGTGAACCTGGAGCGCACATGTTCACATACAATCTTGGAATGGCAAGTCTTAGAGAACCTCCAGTCACAATGCACCCAGTTCTGGGAATATAGGATAAATCATCACACCCAGCTTCTAAACTAAGTGTTCTAAATCAAGCTATGATTCTCATACTGGGAGGCTGGCACCTTACCACTCAAGCCAACTCAGGAGCATGGATATTATAATTATACATTGATAAAAGAACTATAATCTATAAAATGCAAATATGTGTATTGTATGATACTTTTTAAAAGAGAAAATGTATTTCCAATTATGGATTTTTAAACCATTAACTGTCTATATGAAAATGTATGCCTTGAGTCTAAATGCTTATATATCCTCATAAATAACTCTTAAAATTGACTATTATGGAAATCTGGAAACTGGGAAATGGTAGGATCTGCAAAAGAAGAGAGAAAGTAAATAATTATCAGAATATATTGTGTTGAAAGTTTTTCAAGAAAATAAATTCATTAATTATAAACAATGCTTCATTTGATGGTTAGGCATTGTGAAGCATTCATTCAATAGGGAGACATAAGCAAAAAATTCTCTCATATCTTGGTCTATATAGAAAGTCCAGACCACTCAGATGACCCTATCAAAAAAGGAAGTAAGTCAACCACTCTACCTGTGAATGGAAGAGTGTTTCTGAGTGTTGCTGTGTAAGATGGGTATGGAACTGTATCTGGAAGTGGGACTCTTATTCTGTGTGTGTGTGTGTGTGTGTGTGTGTGTGTGTGTGTGTGTGTCTGTCTATGTTTGAAAGTGTGGATGTAGCTTGAAGGGGAACTCTGTGTGTGGCTGAGGTTGCAGTTCACCAGCCTGTCATGTTCCCAACTTCCTTACTTTCATGAGAAGAATTTTCAACATAGTGATCTATTAATGTGATCAACACTATGAACAAAACTAACATGCAAATGAAAGGGTTTCTGTCTTTCTGTCATCTTAACTCTCAAAATCCATCATGAGGAAAATCAGGACATTAAATCAAGAAATGCTCTTCGATAGAAGAATGGATAAGGAAAATGTGGTATATTTACATGATAGAGTAGTACATAGCAGAAAAAAATAACAAAATCTTGAATTTCGCAGGCAAATTGATATAGTTAGAAAACATCATTTTGAGTGAGGTGACCCAGACCCAGAAAAACAATTATCACATGTACTCACTAATAAGTGGTTTTTCAACATAAAGCAAAGAAAACCAACCTACAAATCACAATCCCAGAGAACCTAGACAACAATGAGGTACCTAAGAAAGACATACATAGACCTAATCTACAGGGGTAGTAGAAAACAAGACAAGATCTCCTGAGTAAATTGGGAATATGGGGACCTTGGGAGAGGGTTGAAGGGAAGGACAGTGGTAGAGAATGGAACAGAGAAAAATGTAGAGCTCATTAAAAATCAATAAATAAAAAAAGATAAGGGCCTGAAGGTGAGAACTGAATCAGAAAGCATGAGCTCTGTTTAATAGCTTGCTCTCCATGTTTGTTCAGTCTGCTTTCTTATACAAACCAGGAACACCTTCCCATGGATGCCATCCTCAACATCAGCATGGGCCCTCCCACATCAGTCATTAATCAAGAAAATGGCTCCCACAGAATTGCCTGTAGACCAATTTAATGGAGGCATATTTCCCAGCTGAAGTTCTTTGTTCCCTGATGACTCTATTCTGTATTATGTTGATGAAATTCTAACCACAGCAAAAATGGACATGCTGGTATTGTCATGATAATGTGGGCCATTAAATGAGTGTCATTGTCCACTATATAAGAAATAAAAATGACTGATGAAACACTTAAGAATAAGGATCCGGGGCTGGAGAGATGGCTCAGTGGTTAAGAGCATTGCCTGCTCTTCCAAAGGTCCTGAGTTCAATTCCCGGCAACCACATGGTGGCTCACAACCATCTGTAATGGGGTCTGGTGCCCTCTTCTGGCCTGCAGATATACACACAGACAGAATATTGTATACATAATAAATAAATATTTAAAAAAAAGAATAAGGATCCGCCTCTCAAATAGAAGATAATTATAAATACTATGGGACTTCACCATAAACTCACTCCCTTTTTTTTGCACAATGAACACATGAGTTCACACATACTAAACGTTAATAATCACAAGTTATCTTCTAGATTAGAAATAAGAATAACATGCCTCTACTGACAACAAAAGAATTAATTCTAAGTTTTCATAAGTATGATTTCTGATCACTATGAACCCCAATTCCATTCTAAATCCAATCTATGACTTTTCAGAGACAATCAAATGCATTGAGTAAGTGATCCTCAGGTAAGGTATAGTTATTAAAGTGCAAATGAAATAGCACTACACCTTTCAAAGGGATCATGGTTCTGCTAGACATTGCTTAATAATGTGTAGGCTCTTAAGAGAATTACAAAGGCCATGTGACCAGAAATAGATGAGTTGTGTTTAAATGAAGTGGGATTTTCATTTGGAATAGATTTTTTTTTCACTTTCATGTTTATTTCCTGATACCACAGTTACACTATCTCTCCATCTGGAATCTCTGTCTGAAATCCTGAGCCCCATAACATTCCATAAAGACCCCCTCAAGGAATGGTGCTTCTACCACTCAAATTCTCACAGTCATTATACTATGTGTCATTAGTGTGGCGCTGTTCCTTGAATTAAAGTGGGGACTTGCAATGAACCAGCTCAGCCAGGGCACTAGAATCGATGGGACAAGGTCTCAGGAGTAGGTGCGTAGGAGTCAGTGGATGACAGACACAAGACTCAAAGGAATTCCATCTGAATGAATCTTTACTAGGCATGAGGCTCATCATAATTACAGAAAAAATGCTTAACAGAATGTATTGTTTTTCATATGATACAGATTATTCTTAGAATCATTTTATCAGATACATGAGAATAGATTTTCATCAGACAGATGTTCCTGGTATGAGCCTGTGATTGGTCATGCTTGTCTTGGCTTGGCACTTGTTTTGATATAAAACTTTATCTAGGTTATAAATTCATTGCATTTTGAGCTAAGGGCAAGAAGTCAGGGTTAATAGTCAAATAAACTACTGTGTTTTTATATTTCTGCAATATATGCAGAAAAACTTCTTTTCTTCTCTTCCATGTTTCTAACTCTTTTTCAAACCTCACCCAAAACCAATCTCAAGATTTTACATTTATCTCACTCTTCTTATACTTATCCCATCTTTGCTGAACTGTTTCAATTCCTTAATTAAGTTTGCCTTTTACCCTTTATTTACTAAGCACCACGTTACACCTGTAAAGTTTTTTCTCTTGAATTTTAACTCATCATCTTCCATTAGCTTCATATACTCCTATACAGGGCAATGGCTCATCAGTAGATATTGGAAACATAAACAAACTATCTTTCTTTCCAGAAGAAATTAGACTGAATTCCTTAAAACTTAAGTAGGTAATGCCCAAAGTTCAAGGACTCCAATGCAAGAAGAACAGCACACACACACACACACACACACACACACACACACACACACCCCTTCTCTGTAGGTACACTTCCTTGAAGATTGTGCCAAATCTTACATGAGTGACCACATAGACTCCGCAGGAGGTGGCATAACAGGAACTGAAGTTACATTAGTCAGAATTTTAAAATTTATTGAGGTATTTTCAGCATACTACA